CCGCTTTTTGTGGGTCTGCGGCAGAACCTCGGCTGCTGTCAACGCGGGGCTGTGGGGTGAATTCTCAGTAGTGGCAGCGGGCTTCGCATCCCGACACAATGCCAGAGCCAGGGACAGGGAGGGGATGGGGCCGGCACGAGGTAGGCCGGAACCGAGGCGTGCACGTCTGAACAGAGCCCAGTGCCGCCCGTCTAAGCAGACCCAAAGGATGCCCCTGGAGGTGGTATGGGACTCCTAAAAACGTTATTCTTGGCTTCGGTCACACACTGACGTGAAAAACAAATAAAAAACCTAAGTTCTCCCCGAGTGTAGCTCTTAGGTGGTTATTTTGTTCCTGCCACCCTTAGCTGTCTTATCAGAAAGCAGATGTGAAATCACCGGAAAGAGGTGCTGAGGCTCCCCTTGCTTTGTGAAGTGAGGCATCCCCTCCCATAAGAGGGAAAATGATGCCTCATAAACCTGGCCATGGTTTCCCCATTGGACTGTAAGCCCTCTTCGGGCAGGGACTCTTCATAGTGAGTCATCCCTCACTGTCTAACCCAGGAACTGACACTGAACACTCGGACATCTGACAAGGCTCTCCTCTCCCTCCACCAAAAGAGAAATTAACCATGCTTTATGTAATTCCAATCACTGGAAAGCTTCTTTACCAGAATCGTAGAATAACAACAATAGCCAATATTTATTTAATGCTTATTATTTGCCAGGCACCGGGCTAAACCCTTTACATGTATTACCTCGTTTTTTTTTTTTTTTCCTTTTTGTCTTTTTTTTTCGTGACCGGCAACGGATCGCAACCCTCAGTGTCACGCCCGTACCGGACCAGGACCGGCAACGGGATCGCAACCCTCGGTGATGCGCCCGCACCTCGCTCAGCCAGTGAGCAGCTGGTCTGTATGTGGGATCCGAACCCTCGGCGGGAGCACCGCCGCCACGCTCCCAAGCGGCTCACTGTAGCAGTGCGCCACCGGGCCGGCCCTTACCTCGTTTTTTTAATCCTCAGCAATTTAGGCAATAACTGTGGTCACATAAAGACCACAATAAAGGGGGTTGTCTGCTCCATACCAGCTATTCCTCCGACTCCTTTTTCCACATGGAACGAAAGTAGTCATCCTGTGACCTTCACAGGATACAGCAGCTTCTTTTAAACAAGGCATCAAACCCTCTGGCTCTAGAACATCTGCCACCATGACTTATTAACAACCAACGACCACTCTTTTTAACAACAAAAGAGCTTATTGCTATGCCAGGCACCATGCTCAGCATTTGGTAAGCGGTATCTCATTTAATCTTTAAAGTTGGTGGTGGGAAGAAAAATAAAGTTGTTGGTGGTATTTTTACAAAGAAACAGACTCAGAGGGGTTAAAAAGTGTTCGAGTTCAGCCCAGATTCACAGAACTGGTAAACAGTGCGTTCAGGATCCAGACCCAGATCTGCCTGATTTCAAAGCCAGCGGTCTCAACAACCACACCATTGGCACTATATTGTGTGGCCAATGACTTTTATTAGTGTAATGCCATGGGCTTGCTCTTTCCCAGAGCACTTTGCTAATATATTTCTAATGAACTGCTTGGGGGTGAGATTGTGAACTACTGTAGGGCAAGGACCACCCTGTCTTACTCAGTTTTATACACTCAGTGTCCAGCAGGGCGCCTGGCGCACAGCAATGTTCAATAAATGTGTATGAAATGAAGGGCTACAGCAGTGAGTGAACAAACCTCCCTAATCTGGTATACTACAACACATGGCATATTTCATGTAAGAGCATTCCTCGGAACACAAGGATACAAACTTCTCCACTCTTAATTGTGGTGGTTCATCTCTCAGAGCATCTTCAGGCAAGAGGCCTGGCCTAGTACTTGCTCTGTCACAGAGTGGCTGAGTCTCCATGTCATCAGAATCAGGGTGCCATTTTGGTGTCTCTTCAGAGCTGTTTAATCCTCCCTCCAGGGTATTACAATGGCAAAGCATTTGGGATACAAATTAGACCTCATTTTAAGGAAGATCCAAGACAGAGTTTACGTCCCTTGGCTTACTAGAACACTGTGTGCTGTAACACCCACACTGACATGCGTGCACGATCTGGCCCCAGCCTTCCTCTCCAGCGTCATCTTGCACCATCCTGGCCCATCAGGTCTGCAAATGCGTCATGTTCCTTCCCACCTCAGGGCCTTTGCACATGCTATTACCATTGTCTGGAATTCTCTTCCTCTTCCTGTTTGCCTAGTTAGCATCTACTCATCTTTCAGTTCTTGGTTTAGATGTCACTTCTTCAGAGAGTCCTTCCCTGAGTCCTCTGCCCTTGACCTATGTCCCTATAATATGCTGACACAGTATCTCAAAGCTTTATTTCATAGCACTTACCAGTCTTTCATGACCTATTTATGTGATTATTTGATTAAGGTCTGTCTCTCCCACTAGATTGTAAGAAAGGATTAAGTCTCCTTTGCTCACTGTTGTGTCTCCAGTGGCCAGCAAAGCACTACTGTGTGCTCAAAATAATTTTTTGTTGTTGGATTTCCCAAGCACGCATTTGGCTGAGAACTCAGAAATCATCCTTTATGGGACTGGTTAATGTGTACTCTTCATTTGATAAAACTCCTCTCAGAGACCATTCAGGTTTTTATCCTACCTTGTCAGCTGCAGTCCTGATTAATGTGTCTGGTTTCTTAATCTGATCTTATTCACTCTGTTCTCTATCCCATAGGAGGATTGATAAGATTATTCTACTGAAGGCCTAGAATGATGAACCTTTGTGCGATGTGCACTGGCTCAAAAGAAACAAAGGTGTGCTACTGAGAAACCATTACCCTAGCTACAGCTGTAGAACCACAGAAGGAAAATCTAAAGTCAGGGCCACTGAAGAAAACTCCAGGATCAATTAGCCAGAGCCTAACAAGGTTTCAATCCCCAGCCACCTTCCTGAAATATACAGAGCCAACCCTTTCCCACATAGCCTCTCAATTCTATGCATTCTATCGGCTGTTTTTAGCGTTTACATACTATCTTGAATCAGAATGTCTTTCTTTTTTTTTTTTTTTTTTTTTTTTTTTTTCTGGGGACTATGTAATGATTATACCAAAACCATAACTTCGCAAGATCTAAGGCCTGCCTTTATTATCTCTCACTGCTTCTAGGCCACTAACCAAATCAGATGTTAGCACAATTTGGGATGGAAGTACAATCACAGCTCCCATGCCAAAGGCATTTTGGGACCTAGCTAATATGTATCAGCAAGAACTGGAAGAACGCATGTGGGAGTGGATCTTGAATGGGTTGGATGGAGGCAGAAAAAGCTTCCGTGACACAGTCTTAACCCAAGACCAAAGACATTGTTTTGCCTTTCTCCATCCTTTCCTCCCTCATTTCCTTTTTCTTTCCTCATTAAAACTATTGTTGTTATGTTATTATTTAAGTAAATTATACTATATCCATTCAATGCAATACTATTTAGCCATTTAAAGGAATGAGCTAAATATGTAAAACACAAGAAATACAGAAAAGCATATTTTATTTTTTATTTATTTATTTATTTATTTTGTCTTTTTCCGTATCCGGCAATGGATCGCAACCCTCAGTGTCGCCCCCGTACCGGACCGGGACCGGCAACGGGATCGCAACCCTCGGTGTTGCCCCCGCGCCTCGCTCAGCCAGTGAGCGGGAACCAGTCTGTATGTGGGATCCGAACCCTCGGCGGGAGCGCCGCCGCGCTTCCCAAGCGGCGCACTAGCGCAGTGCGCCACCGGGCCAGCCCCAGAATGTCTTTCTTTTCGGGGTATTTCTATTTCTGTTTAAAAGATCTGTTCACTGATTCTAAAAATACCCTTATATCATTCTTTTCCAATAGCTGAGATAATTTCTGGCAGGCAAATTATAGTATAATTCAGTTTCCTACTCTTAAGATGATATGTTGGTTTCAAGAATGTTGATGATGAAATATAAATGCTGATCTAGTGTTTTTTTGTTCTTTTGTCCCAGGTTTATTGAAAATATTACAGAAAAATTCAAACGGCTCCACATGGTGTTTTGATATTCATCCCAACAGTAGTCTGAGTGACCTGCAAGTTGAACAAACTGCAAAGTCCAAAAGCTTCAGCATAAAATCTAGTTTTATCTTGCAACTATTTCTAACATACTATGAGACTGCCTCTCTTTAACAGAAATTGCTCATATACCTAAATAACTTAGGTTGAGATAGATAAATTGATAATATTAAAATTTTCCATTCTTGAACTATGTGTAGAATAATTCACAATAATGTGGTGGGATAAGAATAGGTGTTGTACAAGCTGGCCTGTTAGCTCCGTTGGTTAGAGCACAGTGTTGTAACACCAAAGTCAAGAGTTTGGATCCCCTAGCCGGCCAGCTGCCAAAAAAAAAAAAAAGCCCAAACAAACAAAAAATAGGTGTTGTAAATACTAAAATCCTATTGAACTAAAAATGCATATAGCCATAAAGTAATTTTTAATTATTTTCAAATACTTTGGTTCCCTTAAAATTCCCTACTTAGCATCTAATCATGTTCCCTTTTCACTAGGCAGATTGATATGTAGCCATAAACTTATCATAAAGAGAAAGAGAAAATTTAATATTTTGATTCTCAGATGGAAGTCAGCCTCCCCAGGGACACTTTAGGCTTCCTACTTGGCAGACGGTAGTTCGGAATCAACTATACCTTTCTCAGTCTAGCTCTGTATAAACCAGCAGAGGAGAAAGCAAGCATTTATAAAGAACATAGCCAAACCTTGCCCAATTTCTCTTTTCAGCACCCTAATTAAAAAGGCTAAATCGGATGGCTCTTCCCCTCTCATGAAAATCATCTCTGGAGTAACACTGAAACCTCTTAACAAAGGGGCATTTATTCAGCACAACAGAACTTTGATATCTGCAATGCTTAAAAAAATACATTCCTGTTCCTGAGGAAATTAACTTGCCAGGTTCAGTTTAAAGGGACTAACCCTCCTTATTTTACTCCTGTATGATAAAAAGAAACCAAATTATTTTTCTTTCTTATTAAAAATATCTTTTATTGACTGAAGCTGATCAATTCTTATAGAAGGGACATAGAGGCACATAGTATATTCTTTAAAAAATTAAATTACTTTACAAGTTAAAACAGAAGTGTTTAGTCTTTAATAATAATATAAAAAATGTATATATTACTTCATCTTCCAGCAAGCTTTTGTTTGTGTGAGTAGATGGGACTACTACAGACACAAATAAGATAGGGCTCTGCTCAGCTTGGGACAGAAGGACCTCAATTGTCAGTAACCAAGGAGATATTTTCCAGTTAAAACATTTTATATCATATCATTTTATGTCTATTTATACAGCATAGTCCAGAGCTAAGACCACAAGAGAAGAGAATACTATTTCTCATATATTTGGAGCTGACTCTGATAAGCTATTGGTTATCATTTGAAAGTATGCACAGGTTTTTTAAAAATCAGACAGTTTAAATAGCATTTTATCTGCAGGGGTTCTCTGATGTCCACACTTTAAAAATTAAAATTAATTAAAAATTAGCTTCTCTAAATTTTTTTCTTCTCCTCCCTCCCTTGAGCTTCTCTAATTTTTAAGTGTAGTTTTATATCTTTTAGAGAAGTCTTTTTTTTTTTTTAGCATAAATCCAAGTTTGTATATACACAATAAGGTCTAATTTCTTACACATAAAAATATTCCTTACACCCAAAAAAGGTTAATTTGAAAATAAACAAAATATAGATGTTTAAACAATTAACTTTCAGATTCTGCTCCCCTTTGGTATTAAATGTTGCTCATGAACGATTACAATCCTCTTTTCATTTTAAGGTTAAGTATTGATGTCTGCTTTCTGCCTTTCACAAAGATGAGAAATCTGCTTCTAGAGGAAAGAAACACAGAGTTGATAAAATAAAAATCAAGGAGCACTGGATAGTGTGCTATAAGCTCCCAGTGTCTAAAATATTATACATCCTGATTTTCATCAACATAGGTCATGCAAATATAAATATGAAAATTTCTTAGCAAAGAGAGAGAGAGAACAGGTCGGGGAGGGAGGGGGCTATTTAGGCTTCCTGCTTTCCCAGAGTTTTAAAAATGTTCTTATTCTTACATTGGAAACATCTGAAATGACTGTACTGGATTCTGAAGAAACTTTGCATGTGAAATGAAGTTCTGATAGAAGAAAATACAAATCAAGGAAGTGCTTACTAGGTCAATAAACTTTTTTTTTTTTTCAAAAGATGACCGGTAAGGGGATCTTAACCCTTGACTTGGTGTTGTCAGCACCTCGCTCAGCCAGTGAGCGAACCGGCCATCCCTATATGGGATCCGAACCCGGGGCCTTGGTGTTATCAGCACCGCACTCTCCCAAGTGAGCCACAGGCCGGCCCTAAACTTTTTTATAAAGTTTGAAACCCACCTAAGTAAGGACTTCTTTCTAGACAGACATTCAGAAGAAATGCTGAAATGTTAGTTGAGATTCTGATTTTTCAAGCTGTATCTATGTGTTCACTTCCTTAGATTTAAAATTCTAGGTACTGACGATAAGAACTTTTTGATCTGCATTTCTCTTACAGGTAATTGACATTTTGCTCTGATTAAATTGAGAAGGTATGTATACATAGTTCAAGCAAAAGAGAAAGAATTACAGGTCAAACAAATGCCTATGCCTCTACATTATCAATGTTCCCGAGTTACTTATTAAATATCAACTGAGATATATGGTGAGTTAAGTAAAGGTGACTTACCCATGATCACAGTGAACATCAAAGTTGACTTTTGCTTTCTTCAATAACTCACAAAGGTATTTTTTTGAGCTGACTCTTCTGAGCCGTCTAAGTTCTGGAAAACAACCCCCAAATTAGTACCCAGGATAGAGAAACTAGAAAATACGAAAGAAGACTATCTACCAATATACCAAAAATGCCTTTAAAAGACCTTAGGCAAAGAGATATCTGCCCTCCCATGTTCACTGTAGCACAATGGCCAAGATATGGAATCAACCAAAGTGCTGGTCAATGGATGAATGGATAGAGAATATGTGGTACATATACACAATGGAATACTATTCAGCCTTACAAAAGAAGGAAATTCTGTCACTTGCAACAATGTAGATGAACCTGAAGGATATTATGTTAAGTGAAATTAGCCAGGCACAGAAATACAAATACATGATCTCACCTATATGTAGAATCCAAAAAAGTTGAATTCACAGAAGCAGAGAATAGAATGGTGGTTGCCAGGGGCTGGGGGTGGGGTGAGGTGTGGATGGGGAAAGAGGAGCTGTTGGTCAAAGGGAACAAAGTTTGTTATACAGGCGGAGTAAGTTTTAGTGATCTACTGCACAGCATGGTGACTATAGTTAATAATAATGTATATTTCAAGATTGTGCAAAAAATAGATTCTAAATCTTTTTACAACAAAGAAATGATAAATAAGTGAGGCAATGGATGTTAATTCACTTGATTTAATCATTCTGTAATGTATACACATATCATAATGTCACATTGTACCCTACAAATATACACATTATCTGTCAATTAAAAAAAGACCTAAGAGGGAGGTTTTGGTGATGGGACACAATAACTAACTACATTGTATATTGACAAAATAAAAAAATAAAAAAAAAAAAGACCTAAGGAATTAACCAAATACAATGAAGTAATTCCATACAACTACTATCCAGCCATCCAGCCAGCCATCCAACAAAGATTTACTGATTTCCTGTTTGTGTGTGGGGGTCCCCTTTGTCTCTAATCTTGTGGTCAGACTGCCCTGTCTGCTTCACAATATGTTATGGCTAAACTCTGGCAGTCAGCTAATGTCCAAATACAACTGTCTCACCTTCAGCCTTCACACAGACTATGTGCTGAGCCCTTAACACTTGTAGACTCAACAACTCTAAGTGCTCCATGTGCCTACTGAGTTAGTCCTGTTAGGTGTTTTGGCAGGTGGGAGGGAAGAAGGGGAGGATGATCCCTGGATGATCCCTTGTACATGCAGCTGGCAAACGTTAGCTTGCAGGTGAGCCCACCACCTCCCCAGCCTCTTCCTCCTCCCATGTGGCCCACCCTCCGGCCACACTAGGATTACGCACAGTTCCTCAAGGGCACCCAAAGTGCTTCCAGGCCTCTGTGCTTTCACTCAGGCTACTCAAATTGCCTGCCTATGAATTTCATAATCTGATGTACTTTGTTTTATTAATTTAAAAACATTACTCTATCCAGTAATTCCACTTCTGGGTATATACTAAAAAGAACTGAAAACAGGGTCTCAAAGAGATATGTGTATACCTTTGTTCATAGCAGCAGTATTCACCATAGCAAAGGCATGGAAGCCACCCAAGTGTGCAGCAACGGATGAATAGATAACAAAATGTGGCACATACATGCAATGGGATATTATTTAGCTCTAAAAAGGAAGGAAATTCTGACACATGCCATGACATGGACGAACCTTGACGACATTACGGAAAGTGAAATAAGCCAGTCACAAAAAGACAAATACTGCATGATTCCACTCATATGCAGTACTCATAGTAGTCAAAGTCATAGAGACAGACACTAGAATGGTGGGTGCCAGGGGTTGAGGGGAGGGGGAAATGGAGACATTGTTTAAAGGGTATGGAGTTTCAGTTTTATAAGATGAACAGAGTTATAGGGATGGATGGTGCTGATGGCTGCACAACATTATGAATGCATTTTCTACCACTGTTTGTACACTTAAAAATGGTCAAGATGGGGCTGGCTGGATAGCTCACTTGGTTAGAGCTGGTGCTGATAACACCAAGATCAAGGGTTTGAATCCCCTTACTGACCAGCTGCCAAAAAAAAAAAAAAAAAAAAAGGAAAAGGAAAAAAAATGGTCAAGATGGGGGTGCGGGGGATGGCTGGTTAGCACAGCTGCTTAGAGCGTGGTGTTGATAACACCAAAGTCAAGAGTTCAGCTGCCCGGGGCCGGCCTGGTGGCGCACTGCTATAGTGCGCCGCTTGGGAGCGCGGCAGCGCTCCCGCCAAGGGTTCGGATCCCACATACAGACTGGCCGCTCACTGGCTGAGCGAGGTGCGGGAGCAACGTCGAGGGTTGCGATCCCGTTGCCGGTCCCGGTCCGGTGCGGGCGCGACACTGAGGGTTGCGATCCGTTGCTGGTCACGAAAAAAGACAAAAAGGAAAGAAAAAAAAAAGAGTTCAGCTGCCCCCCCCAAAAAAAAAAAAAAGGTTAAGATGGTAAATTTATGTTACATGTATTTTAACACAATAACAAATAGAAACAAACAAAAACCCCACATTATTCTAAAAGGGATCCAAAGGCTTTACCAACCTGCCACAAGAAAGGTTAAGAACGCCAACAGATAATACTAATTGCTTTAAACTAGAAATCAGAATGTGCAGTCCCATGTACTAGTCACAACTCCAAGTTCAGTTAAGGTTGAGCCCACTCCCCATTATCCACATGCCAAGCAAAGAGGAAGTCCACCATGGGGTGGGTGATGTGCTCACCTGGGCTGTGTTTTACTCTTTTCTCTTCCCTCTTTTGTCTATTTTTAAGTTATTGGGTTAAAAAAAAAAAAACAGTTAATATATTTACATTAGCTCAAAAATCAAAACAAGGCTGGCTGTTAAAAAAAAAAAGTGCCTGGTTAGCTCACTTGGTTAGAACGCGGTGCTGATAATGCCAAGGCAAGGATTTTCATACTGGCCAGCTGCCAAAAAACAAAAAAATATATGTACATAGAAAGGTAGAAATGTGGACATCCTGCTTCTATCCCATCCCCTGCCTCCTACTGGTAACGATTTATATTATCTTTCCACTGTGTCCTTGTGCAGATATATATTCGAATTCCTGTCCCCTTTCTTACAAATGTAGAATGCTGTGTGAACCTTCCAATATCTGGCATTTTTTCATTTAACAATATACCTGGAAACATTTCCACATCTCAGAGTTTCCCATTCTGTTTCATGGCTACGTAGCATTCCACCGTGGACGCAGCTTACTCACTCAGTTCCATTCTGCTGGACACTTGGATTGCTTCCTATCTTTTGCTGTTATATAGCAAAGCTGCAATGAAAAACTTGTATGTATGCCATTTCATACCCACGCAGAAGTATCTGTAGGCAAGTCCCCAAGTGGCACTGTGTCGTCAAAGGGTCCATTCTTCTGTGATTTTTAGAAAACAATGCCGGTTTCCCTGCCAGAGGACTGAATCGCTTTGCACTCCCCAGCAATGTAGGAGAGCGCCTGCTTCACCGAAAGGCTTGGAATTACGAACCTGTCTTTAGCACAGATGACAGAGCCTTGGAGAAGCAGACAGGCTGCTCAGAACTTTACCCTGCTTCCTTATTGCAAAAGCTTTTTTTTTTTCTGCAGCTGGCTGGGATGGGGGGTCCAAACCCCTGACCTTCATGTTATAAGGCTGTGGTCTAACCAAGTGAGCTAACTGGCCAGCCCAACTAATAAATTTTAAAACAAAATTATTTGCTTTTTCTATATCCAGCTGTACTCAGTACAAAGGCACAGCAGGGGTGGGGGGAGTTTGAAAAAGCATGTTGCCAAGTAGATTTCTGTTATTTAAATTCTGTTTTCCCAGAATCTCTAGAATTAGTTCATCAGTCCACTAGCAATTATATATGGAGCCAATATTTTTTCCAGTTAAATGATTTTCTGATTCTAGCTGTGGGATGTTGAGCAAAAGATTTAAACACTTTTCCTCACCTGTAAAATGAAAGGTTGGGATTAGATACCTCTTCTGGGTCTTTCTAGTTCAAAAATTCTCTTAAACCAAGTTGTCACCAACCTCAAACTGCTTTAGTATTTTTTCAGGCTATACCTAGGGTCCCTGTTAGGCCTTTTTTCCTGAACTTTTCCTATCGGTTCCATTCCAGGTAGGTGCTGGGCATCCCCTGTAGCAGGTACACATGTGCTCTAGGCAGGTGCCAAGATGAATAAGAAGGCTCCTTAAGGTGCTCATAACAGAGCGGGGAGACAGGTGTGTAATCAACTACCGTGTCCTGTGATGTGTACTCTGATAGAGACAAACACACACACACACACACACACGCACGCACGCACGCACACACACAGCCCCACATTACGAGGACAAAAATGAGGGAGCTCTTGATTATAGCTCAGATAGGAATTTGACATAGAACACTAAAAACATCAAGAGAAGAGCGTGAAGCCACGAGGATGAGCAAGAAGGAGTGTGTCAGGCAAATGAGACCAGAAGACGATCAGTTCTGCTGTAACACTTGTTTTGAAAAAGTGAATTGTTCTGAAACATCGGCTATGTTAGTGGACAACTGGAGCATAATGTGAAGTTTGCACTTGTTTATGTGCAATTTTGTCCATAGGAAACGTCAGGTGACTGTACCCAGGTGAACAGGGCTATGCAGAAATAGACAAAACACACACGCGCACCCCTCAAACAC